TCCCTAAAATATGGTGATGTGTTTGTAGTTGGCTCAGGGCAACCAGAAAAGGAATTAATGTGACTCCAAATCCTCTTTTGTACACTGAGGAGAACAGCTCCCTTCATCCATACAGAGGTTGTGAGGAGTAACTAATTCAGGTGATTGTTGAGTACTCAGTGAGAAGCTGCTAAGTAACACTGAATAAGGGAGTGGAAATGTGTCAGGTAAACAGGTGTGACTGTCTAAGTCTGCTGCTTTGTCGTGAAATTAGTCTTCACACATAAATGCAGTTGTTGAGTTATTAATAATTATGATTTGTGTAAAATGGAAGTAACTGTCTCTGTTACCACTGTGGTAGTTATTAAGGGAAGGATCTATTACCAGTCATTTGGAAGGAAATCACAACATGTCCTACCTGAAGACAGTCATTTGCTTCCCTGGACCTGCAATCCACAGAGGGGGAGGGGCTTCTGCTGGGTGCCTCCGTGTGCCAGAGCGAGGTGTGCACTCTGCATTCTTCGTCTCGTTTAACTCTGCTTTACATATGAGGCAAGGAGGGCTAGACCCCAAATTTGAACTGCTTTGAAAAACCAAGAGAACTTTTTGTAACTTGTTTATATCGAAACCTGAACTAAATTGATAAGATTACTTATAGTCTTTGCTTATCTCACTTACTGTGAGAGTACTTAGACATTTTGTGGCAAAAATATTCTTGTCTTTGATTATTGGATGCTTCCAGACCATGTGGAGGGTGTTATGGAATGCATGATGTATACATAGCATAACCTTCTAAAGTCTAACACTCTGAATTCTGAAACTTGCAGTTAGGTATTAAGGGTCCCACCAGTTGCACAGTAGTGACATGGTGTTCTGCAATGCTGGACCCACATGAGAGGGTCATGGGTTCATGTCCCGAGATCTCCCTCTACATGCTGGACAGGCATACCTGTGATCCTAGCTGACTGACGCTAGGGGTGGATTGCAGTGTTAAGACCTTGTTGGGTTGCTTGCTTGCCTGCCTGCCTGCCATTCTGTCTCTTTCCTGGAAGAAATAAATATATAAACTTAAAAAATATATATGTATTAAGTTACTGATGGCCCTGATCTTTGTCCCAGGATTGTCTGGTTCTGAAATGATTTTTTTTTAGAATGTATTACTCTGTATCAGCTATATCATTCTGTGAGATTTTACAGACCAGAGATTCTTTGTATACTTATAGATTTTTGTTTTAGTTGTTTCAGATGTACCTGGAATTTTGGTTTTATTTTGGAATGGTAAGACATACAGGCATGGAAATGATTGCTTTGATGCAGTTGATATGGTTATCCCTTGGTATCTATAGGGGGTTGGTTCCAGGGCCGCCCTCACAGATACCAAAATTCATAGATGCTTAAATCCCGTATATAGAACGACTTAGTATAATCAGCCTTCTTTGCGTGTAGGTTTTTTATCTGTGGCTTCAACCAGCCACAAATTGAAAGCTGTGTAGTACACAAACCACAGCTGGTTGAGTCTATGGATTCAGCACCATCAGGACGGCGTGGGACCTGTACTCTGAGATCCCTAGAAATGAAAGGCAGGGCACATCACATGTAATCCAGAGGCAGAAAGAACCAAGATAAAGCCTGAGCAAAAGCCTTTAATGTGGTTTTTCTTGGGAAGGGGTGGGCAAGGCAAGGTTGCAAACTTGGGCAAGTTTAACCTTAGATGGTATGGAAAACTTTGGTGGGACTCTGGGCTCTGGGAGTGTTCTCCAGTTGTCTGGTAGTCAACCCAGGGTGACTAGGACAGGATTATTGCCTCCAGGAGTGTAAAACCCAAGACAGAGGATGTGGTTCTGAGTATGGGCTCTGGATTGGTTTACATGTCAAAGATGTGCTTACTGCAAATTGTTGGCAATGAGGAGGAATTAGCTAGTGCTGGAAGGGACAGTCTCTCCAGAATTAGCAAGGCCTCCTTTGTAATGTCGAAGCAGCGTAAAACATAGAAAACAGAAATAGAAAAATATTTATACAGTTTATATACAAAGTAAAGTCTATGTGAATAGTATGTACTCAGAGCAAACATTTGTATTTTAGAGGGATGATTTTTCACTATTTAGTAAAAATAGGTGATGTCCCTTTAGATTTCTTTCCAAGGGTGATGGAGCTCATGGAAATTAACTGTGTGTTTCTTTTCTTTCTTGTGTTCAGTAGTTTTTTGTTAAAAAAATGCTATTAATAGCTATCGTCTTATGATTTGTGTCTATGATGTAACTATTTTTAAAATGAACCTGCTGGAGCTTTGGTATCCAGATGAAGATTCTCCCCTCTGAAGATACCTCCTGGGCACTATACATTATTCCAACTATGTCAGTATTGCCCTTTTTTGTTTCTTTTGTTTTATGTTGAGTTGTTTTGTTTTGGAATTTCTTTCATGTCTATAGTATATTTTTTGGAATATCTTCAGTAGAAGTATATTTTCATCCCTTAAGGGTGCTTTGGTTGTTGGAACCAGCCAAATGCACAGTAAAAGAAGGAAAAGATTAAATTGATGTTATGATAAAAAGTTAGATATGACTGAAAGATAGTAAAGGGACTTAATTTTCCAGGGGGGCCTGAGATTGGTCCTGACCATAACTCTTAGGATGGAAAGTCTTCCAATAGCTGGAGAAAGAGCCCACACCTGAAACAAAGGCTTTTGTGCCCTTCTTTTGAGGAGACAGTGCTCATTTTGTAGGGAGGGTTCACATATTGCTGGTTCGAAAATAGCCTCTTCTGTAGACAGGAAGGGAAATACCTGCAGATGATTAAACTAGGGGTGAAAAGAAAACTCTGTGAGTTGCAGTTGAAGGTCACTTTATAAAAGACTGTGAGAAAAGTAACAGGAGAGAATTACTAGTATGTGAAATAGTTGTATTTTTTTCCCGTTCAAATTAAGGGTGCCAAAGGACTATTAGGTAGTGAATGATAGAACATTCGTGGCTGACTTGTCAAAATGGCAGCCCAAGGGTCTGTGTTTTGGCTGTGTGTGGGGGTGTAGTATGTAATTTCTAGATTCTAAGTAAATCTTTCTCAAGTACTCCAGAATTTTCAGCAAACTAAGCTTACATACTTTTTCTTGCTTTATTTTCTGGTTCCGAAATTTATAGTTTCACCCTGTCATCCTACAGTTATTAATAGTCATCTAGTATGTTCACCCAGTCTTATACCTCTTCTTTGCATTTCTAATTATACCAACTTTGAGTTGGACCCTTTGTATATTATATTTTTAAAGTGTTTGCTTAGGGACTTTCTCTGGGCCTAATCTGTTAAAGAACAGGGACTCTGATACTATTTTTTTTTTTTAGTAATTGCCAGAGGAAGTATGTACTCATCAGAGAGAGGTAGGGTGGGAGTAGGTGAGCGGGGGATGAAGGGACGCAGCTCCCAGTGGGGCCTGGTCACACCACAATTCCTTCTCCATTTCTCCATTCTGTTGGGATTTTGGACACATTTACATGCATGTCTGGCATGTTTTCTCTTTACTTGTGGAAAAAAAATTGTAGTATATTTCCAAAGTCAAATATCACTTACTTTGAATTATTCATATACTGGTCTTGTTTATTAGTATAGATTCGTGTTTTTTCTTTTTTAAAGAAATAAACAGTTTACCTCGTGATTATGTATAACTACCTGGTATTTGTCACAAACCCCTAAGTTAATTGCGTATATCCTTATTAAACTGTGTGCAAGCACAGACTTTATTGGCAGTGTGCCCTGTGCTATTAGAGCTGTGACATTGGCAGGTTGTTTTTCATATAACTTTTTTGTGTGTGTGGAGAAATATTAATGGGACATTTAAGCCATAAGCATAGCAAGAGACTGACTTTTTTTTATGGAATGTGTTGAAGAGGAGTGTTCTTAGGGGGGAATGAATCATGGTCTTGTCATTGTAATATTTATCTGAAAAGATTTATCTGAAATTTGAATTCATAAAGCTATTTAAATGTCCTGAGTTTTTGTACTCGTATGAACACACTCCATAATAGCTGCCATTGATCTCTACAGTTTTATGGCTTGGCCAGAACATTAGATGTGGGAAACCCTCACTGATGTCTTTGCACTTAGACTTTGCAGCTGCCCTAATACTACGTCCTCATGTTTAAGTAATTAACAGTATACCTTTTTTTAGAAAAATACGTCATGATTTTCCTGATGACCTGACAGTGACCCTGCTTTAACTAGGTCACTGTTAGGTCATCAGGAAAGTCATGACGTCTTTTTCTATGGTCTTATATGCAAAAAATTTGTCATGACTTTCCCAATGACCCAACATTTAACATAGTTAGAGTGATTGGTATTCAGATGATGCTGAATAGACTTTCACAAAACGTGTTCACCCAGCCTATGGCAAGGAGGTTGAGGTGGTGAATCTCATACGGCTGACAGCAGAGTGCGAGGACCTGGCGGTCTGAGAAACATACCAGGAGTATTTTTGTGCCCAAAATCTTGAAGAGAGGGGGTAGAAAGGATTGTGGAGTGACCACTTGTCATGGAGGGATGAGGGTGCTTTCCCACTTTCCTTTTCTCTCTGTTTCCGGTGAGCATCTGCATCCCTCTAGCAATTTTCTTTTTCTTCTTCTTTTTTAAGTCTTAAAAAGTCCTCTAAAGCTAATTATCTGTTGAAATTGCATAGGAGTAAAAATATGGCACATAGTACCATGAATGTCATACGGATCTTATAGCAAAATAACGCGTTTTCTTTCTGTATTCAGTTCTCTTGCAGCTAGCAAGCGACGCATTGCCAAATGACATGACATTGGCTCTTGCATATCTCCTTGCCTTACCACAGGTGAGTTTGCCCTTCCTAAGAAAGAACTTAAAAGTGAATAAACTGAAGATCTGTACTAGGGATTTTCATCAGTAAAGTTAATTATTATGTGTATCATTTCCTTCTGAGAGTTCTTATTTTGCTGAAAGGACCCTGACTGCTACTCAGGAGCAAATTCTGCAGTATTAGCTTACATGTCAATCTTGAAATCCCCCTTTACACACATGGACTCTGCCTTTATACTGTCTTCTGAACTTTAATCAGATCATATTAAGTTGAACTTGAACTCGAGTTGCTATGATAGAAGTTTGTACCCAAGTCCTACAGGAGTGACTAGAAATTGAGTGGTTTATGATGATCCTGTTCATTTCTTTTCGGCTGAATTGTTTCTGTTCTGTCCCCTTGGAGGTGCTGGATGCCAACAGGTGCTTTGAGAAGCAGGCCCCTTCTGCGTTATCCCTCCAGCTGGCAGCGTATTACTACAGCTTGCAGATCTATGGCCGACTGGCGCCGTGTTTCAGGGACGAGTGCCATCCGCTTTACAGGGTGAGTCCTCTAGGTTTCCACTTTATTACCGTGCAGAGGTAAAGCTTTTCTGAAATAGTGATAGTGTGAATATCCCCTGGGAGGGGCTGACCTCTTTTATACCCAGAATGAATTTTTTAAAAGAATTATTTTATTGAAATTTATTTATTTATTTATTTTAATTTGACCAGAGAGGGTCAGAGTCAGAGTGAGAGTGAAGTGAGAGAGAGCGAGAGAAAGTGAGAAAGCAAGCCACCAGGTCCGAGACTTGAACCATAGTCAGCTATGTGGGAGTCCAGTGACCTTAACCACCACACCACCTGCCGGCCCCGCCCCAGAATAGCATTTTAAGTGCAAACAGCCCTTGCTTTTCAGTAGTAGACCTGGTCGTTTACAGGTTTCAGCAAGATGGAGAATTCCTAATATTTGCTGTGAGTGCTGATTCTTCCTCCTGACTTTTTTTTTTATTATGTTCTTAGTTAGGAAAAGTTAATGTTAATAGAAGAAGCTATTGCAGAGTTGGCTTTTTAATTCATCACCCAAAAGGAAGGTGGTTCTAATTTAGGAGAGTGGGCACCATAATTCTTTAGCAATAGTGCACATTTAATTTTAGCCAGAGTTAGGGGAATAATTATACAGATAGACTGTTAACCCATGCTATTCCTTCTTGCTACAAGCTCCAGATGACCTCCAAGTAACTTTTTCAGGGATTTCCAAGTCAGACCCCAGGTATGGCCTCAAGTTCTGTGTGCTTTCTTTGATGGACACAGAAGTGTTGCTAAAGCCAGTGGAAGATCATAGCCCTCCAGGGTTACCTGTATATTCCAGTTTTAAATATCAGCTTTGGGGATTATTTTAAAAAGAATTATTTATTTAATTAAATTGTCATTATTTTAATATGACCAGAGAGAGAGAGAGAAAGGGAAAGGGAGAAAGTAAGCAAGCAGGTCTAGGACTCAAATTGCAGTTGGCCATGTGGGAGTCCAGCACCCTAAAGTACCATGCCACCTGCTAGCCCCACATTTTGGATCATTTGAAGAAAAATTACCATTTTAGGAGGAGATAGTTAGGCCAACTGTGGTGGTGCAGCAGTAACACAATACTCAACGGTGTCGAAACCATGTGGGAAGGTTCTAGGTTTGTAGCCGATGGCCTCTCTGTGCACACTGGACGCACACACATGCATGTGCAGTGATCTGGCCTAGCAGAGACTCAGGGTGGAGTGTGGCTTGAAGACTTTGTTGGGGTGCTTGGAGGGTCTTTATAAAGAGAGTAGATAAATAGATCAGACTTCAAATCCACTAGCTGTACAAATCCAAAGTCCAGATTTTATAAAAGAAGGATTTCTTTTTTCTCCCTTAACTCCAGACTGTAAAGAAATAATTATACAGCTGTATCAGAGTTTTAGCTGCCTCAGTCAGCCAAAGCATATTTAAGAACCTACAGGGATATGAAAACATTTCACTGTGATTATAGCTATGGCTTTCTTCCATCAATTGCTGTTTAAAAGAAGAGGGAAAGTGGATGAACCTTTCACAGCACAGGTTGATCTCTCAAGGACACCATCATTATTAGGTGTGTATTGGTATTGTTCTTAGGTATAGATTTCTATTTTGTTTTTCAATTTGTCACAGGGTACATGCACTTGCCAGAAAGAGGGAGGATAAGCACCCCCCGGTAGGGCATGACTATGTTATCTCTTCTCCTTCTTTTGGGATTTTGGGCACACACACAGGTCCCACAAGGTCCGAGATTCTAACTGTGCATTCAGCCATGTGGGATCCAGTCACCTTAACCACTACACCAGTGGCTGGCCCCCACTTCCAATTTCTAATCAACCCAACATCTCTGTCCTTTAATTATCACTGTTTTCCTATCAGATGATCCTTTCCTTTGACGGTATTGTGTGGACCTCTTCAGTATACCCCTAGCCTTGGGTCTCTGATTCCTGGCTGTCACATTCCCTATCCAACCTGTGACATGAAAACACCGTTCCCTGTCTGAGCCCAGCAGCATAAGCAGCTGCTGCCATTACTCCCTGAAGCAACATTATAACTTCATGAGAAAAGAAGCCAGTCCAGTCCCCGGCTCTAGTGGTGATGCCCCAGCACATGGTTTCTTTCATCCCAGCTGCTTCAGACAGAAATGAATGTGCCAAGACAGTGACGAGGTGGGTCACGAGCCAGCTAGTTCTTCAGGGGCTTTTTGGCAACTCTATAGGAGGCATTTAGTTATTGATCTGAAAGGAGAAATAGTGAGATAGAAAGAGTCCAGGATATTTTTCACATCAAATGTGAAGACATTCTTGAAACTCTTGTAGATAAGGAAGAGTTACCACCTCTCCATTTATTTTCATCTCCCTACCTTGTGTGCTCACCTTAATTTAATCTCCTGTAAGTTCTTCAGCTCAACTGCTCTGACGGCCTCTAAACACCACTTTGCTTTCTCTTTTGTTAGCATTGTGTTTGAGTGCCAGAGTGGTCTTTCTGACATGGAGGTCTGGTCATCGCCTTCTCTGCCTGGCACCCTCCCGTGATTTCCCATTGCCCTGGCAGGTCTGCTAAGCACTCATGGTCTTCCCTCTGTTTCTCCAACTTCATCATCCCTTGCTGCAGTCATAACAAACCACTTCAAGGCCCTTACTCATCCAGAGTGCTCTGTTTTCTTGTCTTCAGGCATGTTGTTCTCTCTCCCTATAATGCTTTACCCACCATCTCTTTGCTTAGCTGGTTGGTTCAGATGTTACTTCACCCCAGAAGATTCTTACTGCACAGGGTGCATATCCTTTCTTCAAAATGTGTGGGACCAGAAGTTTTTCAGATCAAGAGTTATTCTGGAGATGGGATCCAAGTCTAAACACAGAATTCATTTACATTTTCTATACACCTTATGCACATAGGCTGGAGGTAATTCCATACAGCATTTTTATATTACAGTGTTTGGATCATGATCCATCCCACAAAGTCAGCAATGGGATTTTCCATTTGTGCATGATGTCTACACTCAAAAATTTTGGATTTTGGAGCATTTTGGACATTAGTTGTTCAGAATAGTGATGCTCAACCCCTACTCCCAGGTGGTTTCTCAACACCTTGTGCTTTCGTGCTCCCCTGTACTTACTCTGCCATAGCATGTACCCGCCATTGTTCCTGGCCTTTGTGCTTCCCTCTCCTAGGTCATGAGCTATTTGAGGACAGCGTCTGTGTGGTATCTACTGGATTTCCCAATAGGGGAGGACCTTGACTATAAAGGGCAATAAACAAATGTTCATTGGGTAGATGAATGAACATTCACGAGTAATTCTTCAGTAAATATGAGAGAGTGGAATTGTGTGTGTGTGTTTCAAATATTTGCCATGTGACTACGTTTTGCCAGCCAGTGTTTTAGAAGAAATAACAGTGAACAAAAGTACGTAAAAACTCTCCCCTTTTAAAGACCTACTTTCTGCTGGGGGCTAGAGTCACTATGAACAAAACACGTAAATAAAATATATACCATGGTAGATGCCACTAAAAGCTATTAAAATAAAAAGCAAAGAATAGGAATAGTGTGTGTGTATGTGTGTGTGGAAGAGAGAGAGAGAGAGCAGAGAGACAGGTACTGCTGTAGAGTCAGGGAAAGGCCTCAGTCATGAAGGCGACCTTTTGAGTTAAAGATGAAAGGTCTAAGCAACAGCATGAGTGAAGAGCTTCCAGACAGAGAACAGCAGTAACAAAGGCACAGAGGCGTTCCTGCCTGCCATGTGTACTGTGGTACTTTTTCCACAAGATGTTTAGGGTGATAGTAAGTGTGTGTTATATAAAATTCAAGGCTTAGAGTTGCCGTCTGCCTCTAGAGAAAAAGGATAGAAATGCAGCCTGACCAGACGTCATAGTTCTGGGATGGGGGCTGTTCTCCAGACTGGCTAAGAAAGGGCCAGGAAGTGGGGTGAGAGCCAGTCAGCTTAGGGATCCTTTATGGGAGTTGTTAGTGGAGCGTAGAAATAGCCAGCTGACCATAAAAAGGCACCTGGCTGTCTTAACGCACCTTTCACTTTCATTCTTCCATCCGATCCTTTGAGCAGCCTCGTTTGCAGAAGAGGAATCTTTGGAGAAGATAATGCTCAGAGAAATTTGGTTACCTGTTCACAGTGGCTGTGGTAGAAAGTGGCATCCTGTCACTTCCAACTCCTGGTTCCAGGCTTCACCTGCTTTTTACTGGGGCATGCTCTGCTTTAGCTCTGTTTGGAAAGAAGCAGTGCCACTCCTCCTTGGATCTGTTGAGCTGTCTGGCATGCCAGTCTAACAGGGACGTGCCAGCAGGATATTTTCAGTTGACATTCTGTGTCTACAAGGAAAACCCCTATGTGTGACAGACAAGACCCTAAGCGGACTGGATGGCTCCTCCTTACCTCTCCAGCTGTGCTTCTCGATCTGACCTCTTCTGAAGCTTATATTCTAGCTGTTCAGAAATGGCATTTCTCTGAATTTGCAACCTCTTCTCATGACTCTATGCATGTGCAGATGCAATTCCCTTGTTTGAAACTCCTCCTGCTCCTCTGCCTCCCTTCTATGGACAGATGAGCCTGAGGAGCTCTGAGGCATCTCCTCTGGGGCCTTCCTTGCCTCTTCTGTAGATGTCAGCCTCCTCTCTCCATCTCTCTCTGCTCTTGTGTGTGCGTCCATGGGAGCAAATCCTTCAAGGGGTGGTAGGTGATGGACACCTCTCTTCCCTTGGTGCGGTGGCCTGATGTGACAGCAGGCATTCCACAGCTCCCTGTGTGCTCAGGACCTGCCCCAAGGAGCTGCTTGATGACTATTGATTGATGTGTGAGTAAGTCCAGGGATCATGTCAGCAGCTGGACATCAGGATGGCCTTTGTGGCCCCATGTCTACACTGATCCTGACCCTCTTCGATTTGAAGGGATCATGGGTGGGCACCATAGCTGGATGTTTCCAGTCCACAAGAGTTTTCTGTCGACTGCCTAATGGCTCATTATTTGATTCTTTTCAGTATCTTCCTCTACAGAAAGCAGCACTGCT